TGGCAGAATGGGATTGGACTGGATGGCCCACCAGATCTCTTCCAACTCTAGGATTCTATGAAAAGTGCACAGCTGAAAAATGTGCACATAAAGTTTGATTTTGGCTGAAAAATTAGCATATTCACATGACTGTATATCCCTGCAATCATTGAAAACATGTGACTTTGTTCCTACATTCTGGTGTGCACTGCTCCAGTGCATGTCCTGATCAGGGCTGTAAACAAATGGAATCATGGACACACCAGTGGCTAAATGGAAGCACAATTGGAAAGCAATTAGGCTGTTAGGAATTGTGGGAGCTGAAGTCCAAAGCACCTGGAGGGCCAAAGCATGGGAAGCACTAGGTTAAAAGCAAGTGCCTCTCTAACAAACTCAGCTGGGCTTCATTGAGGCCGGTTTCTCAAGCTCTCTTCCCAACAGGGAGCCGACCCTGGGGTGAGCAGAGGAGAAGCACGGCTGTGTGTTTCCCCCACATACAGCAGTTCCTGTCTGTTGGTGGCAAATGGGTGAAGGTGAGGAGGAGGAGGAGGAAAAGCCTGCACAGATGGTCTACATTAGGCAAATCTGCTGTGTTTCGGGAGGGCTCAGTGTGTGTTGTTGCCACACACACATATGCACACAACGCACCCAGCCTCTCCCTTTCCCTTTCTTGCAGCTCAGAAGGGCAAAGAGGTTAGCAGCACACAGAGGTTCGCACAAGGCAGCCTTGTTTTGGCCCATCTGTGGGATGCTCCGGGAAGGCTGGGAGTTTGCTTCCTGCCCGCCCAGAGCCTGGAGGAGCTCCGACCCGCAGCTTGGCTCAAGCAGGAAGGAGCCGTTTCCTGCACAAAACTCCAGTTCTGAAACCCACACAGATCTGAATCTTTGGTTCAGGGGGAGCAGATGAATGTCAACAGGGAGAGATGTAAAATACTACACTAAGGCACAGATATAGAATGGCCAACAGCTTGCTCATTAACAGTATGGAAGGGATTTTGGAGCCTTAGCAGACCAGAAGCGGAACATGAGCCAACTTTGTGTTGGTTAGACCTCACCTGGAATAGCCCTGGATCCAGCTCTGGGCAAAGCAATTCAAGAAGGAGATGGAGAAGATGGAAGGTGACCAAAATGGTGAAAGGCATAGTTTATGAATCCTTCTGTGGGACAGCTTAGGGAGCTAGGGATATTTAGCATTGAGAAGAGAAGGTTGAGAGAAAGGGATACAGAATTCTAGAATCCTAGAATTGGAAGAGACCTCGTGGGCCATTCAGTCCAACCCCCCTGCCAAAAAGCAGGAAAATTGCATTCAAAGCACCCCCAACAGATGGCCATCCAGCCTCTGTTTAAAAGCAGAGCCCTGGCATTGTGACAATTTACAGTATGGAATGAATTCCCTTGCACTCCACTTTAAATGCCATGGTTACATACGATGGAGTCCTCCTGGGAGTTATAGTTTCCTAAGGCCCATACCCTTCTCTGGGTGCATCTACACTGTGGAATGAATGCAGCTGAACCTTACTTTAAACGCTAGAATCATAGAATCATAGAATCAAAGAGTTGGAAGAGACCTCATGGGCCATCCAGTCCAACCCCATTCTGCCAAGAAGCAGGAATATTGCATTCAAATCACCCCTGACAGATGGCCATCCAGCCTCTGTTTAAAAGCTTCCAAAGAAGGAGCCTCCACCACACTCCGGGGCAGAGAGTTCCACTGCTGAATGGCTCTCACAGTCAGGAAGTTCTTCCTCATGTTCAGATGGAATCTCCTCTCTTGTAGTTTGAAGCCATTGTTCTATTGCGTCCTAGTCTCCAGGGAAGCAGAAAACAAGCTTGCTCCCTCCTCCCTGTGACTTCCTCTCACATATACATGGCTATCATATCCCCTCTCAGCCTTCTCTTCTTCAGGCTAAACATGCCCAGCTCCTTAAGCCGCTCCTCATAGGGCTTGTTCTCCAGACATATCGCTATGTCTTCATGAGTTGATCTTGGGAACTGCAGTTTCCCAAGGTCCATGAACCTTCTCTGGGTGCATCTACACTGTGAAATTAATGCAGCTGGACCTTACTTTAATACCAGAGCTCCATACTATGTAGTCCTGGGAGTTATAGTTTTTCAATGTCCACATCCTTTTTTTTCTGTGGGGCAGCCAAGAGAGTGTATCACCACTTTCCCTCTCTCCCTGCTTCCTTGCTTACGGAATTGAAGACATATAACATTTCAAAGAGAGGAGTCCCATCCCCACACAAAGAACACAGGGAGGGATGGTGGGCAGGGCCCAATCTTTAGATGGCAAATAAACTCAAAGAATACTGAGTACTACTGAGCAACACCGATCTATTTAACAGTGTGATGAAGGTAGTGACCGCATTTCCGTTTACAAGCCTACACGATCTCTTTGATCTTCTGGAGAGGCCCTCCTCTTGCTCCCGCCTCCCTCGCAAGTGCGACTTGTGGAGACGAGGGAGCTGGCCTTCTCTGTGGTGGCCCCCCGGCTCTGGAATTCACTCTCTAGAGATATTAGACAACCCCCCACCCTGGCAGTCTTTAAGAAGAGCTTGAAAGCTTGGCTGTTCCAATGTGCCTTCAATGAATGAATGAACAATAATTCCCTGATCTGACCAAGTCCTGCGAAATGCCCTCACAAGCACTTTATTTCACCTGTTAGTGCAATCAAATCCTACTTATCCCTCGGATTCCCTGTCCAGATACATTAAACTGTTGTCTCACCCAGTGTTTTAATTTTTAATTTATTGGATCTGGCCCTGCCCACTGTGATTGATTTCCTTGTCTTAAATGTTGCGATGTTATATTGTTGATGTACTCTTTGTAATGGTTTTGTATTGTATTTTATTCTGTATATTCTATTGTTGTGTTTTGTTGTATATTGATGTATTGCATTGTTGGGCTTGGCCTCATGTACCACCCCCCTGTTGTGCCAGCTCCACTGGCTGCCGATCCAATTCTGAGCACAATTCAAAGTGCTGGTCTTGACCTATAAAACCCTATATGGCTCCGGTCCAGTGTACCTGTCCGAACGTATCTCCTTCTACGTCCCACCTCGGAGTTTAAGATCGTCTGGGGAGGCCCTGCTCTCGGCCCCACCTTTGTCTCAAACATGCTTGGCGGGGACGAGAGACAGGGCCTTCTCAGTGGTGGTCCCCCACCTGTGGAATTTGCTCCCTGGGGAAATTAGGTCATCGTTTTCCCTCCTCACCTTTAGAAAAAATGTTAAAACATGGCTGTGAGACCAGGCCTTCAGGCAATCAGGTTAAAGGACAATCGATAATGTTGACTATGGCATGGAAGAGGATTTGGATAAGTTAAGCGGAGTAATCATTAGTAGATGGCTAGCTAAACGGCCACCAGATGGACAATAGCTAATCAGAGTGTAAGTATGCTGTTTTAATCTTTATTTATTAATGTTCGTGTTTAATTGTTATATTTGTTATTCTGTATTTTATGATGTGGCATTGAATTATTGCCAATTGTAAGCCGCCCTGAGTCCCCCCAGGGGTTGCGAAGGGTGGGGTAGAAATGCTCGAAATAAGTAAATAAATAAATAAGCTGCCCCGAGTACCCTTGGGGAGATGGTGGCGGGGTATAAATACCCTACCCTGGATGGCGAGACACGACGTCCGTCACCTTCTGTAAAAAGTCTTGGTGTCTTATTGGACCCTCTGCTGCTCACAATGGAGGTCCAGGTCTCTGCTGTGAGCAGATCTGCGTTTTTCCACCTGCGTCAGGCTAGGCGACTGGCTCCCTTCCTATCTAGGAACGACCTGGTTACGGTGATCCAGGCGACGGTCATCTCGAGGCTTGACTACTGTAACGCTCTCTACATTGGCCTCCCTTTGTCAGTGATCCGGAAACTGAAGCTGGTGCAAAATGCGGCAGCTCGTCTTCTCGCCGGCAAGGTGTCGTATCACTCCAATTCTCCAACAGCTGCACTGGCTTCCTATTGAGTACCGGATTACTTTCAAGGTGCTGGTACTAACCTTTAAGGCCTTATATGGTCTGGGGCTGGCATACCTGAGGGCCCGCTTATCCCCCTACCAACCCCAGAGATTACTCTGGTCTGAAGACCAAAATTTGCTTGAAGTCCCTTCCATCCGGACTTATCATTTGTCATCCACTAGGCAGAGAGCCTTCTCGATCGTGGCCCCTTATTTATGGAATGCCTTGCCAGTTGAAACCCGAACCATCCGAGAGCTACTTGCTTTTCGGAAAGCCTGTAAAACCTTTCTTTTCCAACAAGCTTTCGACGGGCGAACAATCTCGGGACTATGTCTGTTCTCATTTTTAATGTATTTTAAAGTTGGTTGTATTGTTTTAATCTATTGTTGTAAACCGCTCCGAGCCAAATTGGGAGTGGCGGTATACAAGCCAAATAAATAAATAAATAAATAAAAATTATTATTATTATTATTATTATTATTATTATTATTATTATTATGGTAGGGAAATCATCCGTTTCATTTCAAAACGGAGCTCTACTCTGCCAAACACTTCCCCGCTTCAATGTGATGAAGGCATAAGTAAGTATCACTCCGTGGGGCAAAGTGGCATTGCTGCTGGGGACAGGATGGGTCTGAAGGCCCTCCTGATAAGATCATATTCTGCTTCTGTTAAAACACACCGAACAAAAATATCCCAGAGATGATGACCTCATTTCGAAAATCTGAATTTTTAAGCAAAGAAAGCCATTTTACAGAGGAAACGCAATTTTCAGTCTTTGCAAGAGGGTCAAACCTCAGCAGATAAGTTAGGGCAGTCGTCCTCTCCATTGTGGGGAGGCGAGGAAGCAAAGTGCCAATGTGCAGAACCGGAGGGCAAGAAGATAAGGCTCCTTGTGGCATTGGGGAAGCAGGATGTGAGCTTGCTGAAGAGAACCGCCAATGTGGTTGTTGCGATCGGGTAATAGAGCATCACCCACCGGGAACCTTATAAGGCTCCTTATGGCATTGGGGAAGCAGGATGTGAACTTGCTGAAGGTGTAATAAGAAATGCAATGTGCAAGGGAACCACCAATGTGGTTGTTGTGATGGGGTAATAGAGCATCACCCACCGGGAACCTCTCTGAAAGGACAACATGGTCCAACAGGAACATCGTAAGATGTGGCAGAGCGGAGAGCTGGGGAAAAGCTAGGGTGTTACCAACAGTGGAGCCAACAACATGTCCTTTGCTACCTGGCGTCTTCCTTGTAAGGTTTTACCTTCTGTCTAGTGGGTAGGATGGAGACAGCAGGACCACCTTTGATCATGGGCCAGCCAAGGTACAAGCAATGGGAGTGTTGAGAAAGTCAAGCTGGTGGGAGAGGCAATTCTGGCATCTTCAGAGCCTGAGAAGCCCCACTTTGAAGCAGCAAACATTCCAATATGTGCCCGGTGAGGTATATGTGGGTGGCGTAAGAGCATCCACAGAAGCAATACGTCCTGACGCAGGAGGCGCACAGCACTTGGAGGGCAGCAGAAACGAGAAGAGGGCAAGGCTCATGTCAGCAGATAAGGAGGAAGCCGTCTCCGACTGGGAGCTGCGCAGGGATGTGAGGTCTGTTGAATGGCCAAAGGGGAAGCTTTCAAGATGCACAGATGGATCCTCTCCCAAGTTCCAAGTCAGAGCCCACCTAGGAATCGGCACCGCGTGCCCTGTCTCTCTTGGCTGCGCGACCTCCCGGATGTAGGGCATCACAACACCAAAAATGCAGTCCACGATTCTCGCTGGAGGAGGAGGAGGAGTTTTTTCCTTGCAGTTCCATGAGTTGCTCTCAGTTTCACCCTGAACTTCCAGCCCCATCCCCGGCACATATACACGCATACACACAACACGCACCCTTGCGCTCAGACCCCTAGTGCAGTCAGGGACCCCGCGCTGGTGATCTTCTTGAACCTGTTAGCAGCACAGACGCCAATGAAGTTTTTCTGTTCAGTTGGGAGAAGAAGAAGAAGAAGAAGAAGAAAAGGTCATGAAAAGAGAATAGACAAGGCTTGAACTCTCATGCTATAAAGAATGGACACAGATGGTTTGCTTTTCAAGGATGTCAACATTATGCACTGAGAACACAAGCATGCTGCAATGTTCTGTTCTGCAAGCGAAACTTATTTACATCGTGTACTTTTTTGTTTGCAGAATTTAGTTGACCACCTGTTAAGATTCTGAAATTTCTACTACCATAAAATCATAGAATCAGAGTTGGAAGAGACCTCTTGGGCCATCCAGTCCAACCCCATTCTGCCAAGAAGCAGGAAAATTGCATTCAAATCATCCCTGACAGATGGCCATCCAGTCTCTGTTTCAAAGCTTCCAAAGAAGGAGCCTCCACCACACTCCGGGGCAGAGAGTTCCACTGCTGAACGGCTCTCACAGTCAGGAAGTTCTTCCTCATGTTCAGATGGAATCTCATCTCTTGTAGTTTGAAGCCATTGTTCCACGTCCTAGTCTCCAGGGAAGCAGAAAACAAGCTTGCTCCCTCCTCCCTGTGGCTTCCTCTCACATATTTATACATGGCTATCATGTCTCCTCTCAGCCTTCTCTTCTTCAGGCTAAACATGCCCAGCTCTTTAAGCCACTCCTCATAGGGCTTGTTCTCCAAACCCATGATCATTTTAGTCGCCCTCCTCTGGACACATTCCAGCTTGTCAATATCTCTCTTCAATTGTGGTGCCCAGAATTGGACACAATATCCCAGGAGTGGTCTAACCAAAGCAGAACAGAGCATGGGGAGAATGACCTCCCTGCATCTAGATACTAGACTCCTATTGATGCAGGCCAAAATCCCATTGGCTTTTTTTGCTGCTGCATCACATTGTTGGCTCATGTTTAACATGTTGTCTATGAGGTCTGTGGAATGACCAGGGTGGGACAAAGAACCCTCGTCTGCTGGACCCACCCTGGTCATTCCACAGATATATAAACCCATTTTCCTAGTTGCAACAGACCTCACAACCTCTGAGAATGCTTGCCACGGATGCAGGCGAAACGTCAGGAGAGAATGCCTCTAGTACATGGCCATATAGCCCGAAAAAACCTACAACAACCCAGTGATTCCGGCCATGAAAGCCATCGAAAATACAAAGTTCCTGGAGCTGAACAACAACTTTCAAAGTAAATACCGCACAATTAAACACTTTCAAACCAGGAACAGGAAATTTTTCAAATTTTGTTACATAGTGTATCCATCCCTCTCTTTCCAAAGGGTTGAGAAATCCCCATTCTGCATGAGAAAGGAAGAAAAGAGCTATCGATGAGCTGGTGCAATGACTCACACAAGCAAGTGAGCCAAGCCACATACAAAACAACGTCTTCAAATATGGCTGCAGCCTTTGTTTTCCCTAATTCCCCGACGGCCTCTTTCATGCACTTACCTTCCAGCGCCTCCGCATCACATATTTCCGGAGCAGGACTTGGGATTTGAGGCGCCGGTTGACGCGCCCGGCCTTTTCTCCCAAGTTGTTCAGCCAAGGATGCTGAAGGCACTGCGCTGCATTCATGCGCCCGCTGTGGGGTTGGAGAAAGAGGAGAGATACGTTAGGAGGCAGTGATTTTCTTTATGTGGCAGGTACTATGCACTGAACTTCAGAGGCCCCTTCTACACTGCCATATAATCCATATTATTTATTATTATTTATTTATTTACTGTATTTCTATACCGCCTTTCTCAGCCAATTGGCGACTCAAGGCGGTTTCCAACAAATCAGTATACATAAAACATAATAGATAAAAAAACATTAACAGTATAAGACATCACAAAAAAAATATAAAAGCAACATCATCAGTGTCTCATTATTCTCAAGCATTGTCCAATTCCATTGTCAGGTCATTCAATTTCCTATATTAGCTACTCTGTATTTGTAAATGCTTGCTCGAATAGCCACGTTTTAACTTGCCTCCGAAACAGCAAGAGGGGAGGGGGAGCAGATCTGATCTCCCTAGGGAGGGCATTCCATAGCCGAGGGGCCACCACTGAGAAGGCCCTGTCTCTCGTCCTTGCCAAGCGTGCTTGTGACAAAGGTGGGACCAAGAGCAGAGCCTCCCCAGATGATCTTAAAGCCCTCAGTGGTTCATAAGGGGAGATATGTTCGGACAGGTAAGTTGGGCCAGAACCATTTAGGGCTTTATAGGCCAAAGCCAGTACTTTGAATTGTGCCCGGTAGCAAACTGGCAGCCAGTGGAGCTGGTGCAACAAGGGGGTTGTTTGCTCCCTTAGCGCCGCTCCTCTTAACAACCTGGCTGCCGTTCATTGGACTAGTTGAAGCTTCCAGACCATCTTCAAAGACAACCCCACATAGAGAACGTTGCAGTATTCTATACGGGGTGTAACTACAGCATGGACTACCGTGGCCAAGTCAGACTTCCCAAGGTACGGGCGCAGCTGGCGCACAGGTTTTAACTGTGCAAATGCTCCCTTGGTCACCGCCGAAACCTGAGGTTCCAGGCTCAGCAATGAGTCCAGGGTCACACCCAAGCTGCGAACCTGCGTCTTCAGGGGGAGTGTAACCCCGTCTAACTCAGGCTGTAACCCTATGCCCTGTTCGGCTTTGTGACTGATCAGGAGTACCTCTGTCTTGTCTGGATTCAATTTCAATTTATTCGCCCTCATCCAGACCATCTCAGTGGCCAAGCACCGGTTCAGGACCTGGACAGCCTCCTTAGTAGCGGATGGGAAGGAGTGACCGAGTTGGACATCATCTGCGTACAGGTGACACTGCACCCCGAAACTCTGGATGATCTCCCCCAAAGCAGATAATCCACATTCATTGTAGAATGTAGATCAGGTATGGGCAAGCTTGAGTCCTCCCTCCAGGTGTTTTGGACTTCAACACCCACAATTCCTAACAGTCGGTAGGCTGTTAGGAATTGTGGGAGTTGAAGTCCAAAACACCTGGAGGGAGGGCCAAAGTTGGCCCATGCCTGAGCTATCATGTATGTATCTGTATGAGAGAGACAGATCTCACTTTCTATAAAGTTGGTGTTTTTCACTTCCTCATCCATATCCAAACCTTTTGTCCTTGATAATCAAGTGGGAGACAAAGTCTTTCGCTTCTTCGGAGATGCCCTCAAATGCTTCCTCATCAAAATACCAGTTGGCTGCCAGGACGTTGTTGAGGGTCTCAGTATCGTTGTCTCCCAAGAAGGGGGAGAGTCCGCTCAGCCTGAAAGACATGAGTTGGAGAGGAGAGGACATCATGAATCAAAGCTCCTCATTAGAAATGAACACAAACCTCTGGGGACACAACTCTGTTTCCTTTGGCAAAACCCACTTTCTCTGCAGCCAGAAGTCTGGCTGCAGACATAAAACCCCAAATCTCTAGGCGACCATGCAGAATATTGCCTTGCTGGACCCAGGGAATGAATTCAAGAGTGTTGAAACCTGGCCAATGAAGACTGGAAGTATACCAAGGTCATAAGATAAGAATTGGAAAAGTTTCATTTTCAGATGACAGCACCGAGCATGATGGTTGTGAAGATTCTGGGGAACTGGCCTCCAAAAGGAGAAGGGGAAGGCAAAGGTGATGGTGACTTAGAAGGTGAAAATGAATTAAAATGTGAAGGAGAAGGAGAAGGTGGAGAAGAAGGTGAAGGAGAAGGTGATAGTGAATTAGAAGGTGAAGATAAATTAGAATGTGAAGGAGAAGGTGAAGGAGAGGGTGATGGTGAATTAGAAGGTGATGATCAATTAGAATGTGAAGGAGAAGGAGAAGGTGAAGGAGAAGGTGAAGGTGATGGTGAATTAGAAGGTGAAGATGAATTAGAATGTGAAGGAGAAGGAGACGGTGAAGGAGAAGGTGAAGGAGAAGGTGATAGTGAATTAGAAGGTGAAGATGAATTAGAATGTGAAGGAGAAGGTGAAGGAGAGGGTGATGGTGAATTAGAAGGTGATGATCAATTAGAATGTGAAGGAGAAGGAGAAGGTGAAGGAGAAGGTGAAGGTGATGGTGAATTAGAAGGTGAAGATGAATTAGAATGTGAAGGAGAAGGAGACGGTGAAGGAGAAGGTGAATGAGAAGGTGATAGTGAATTAGAAGGTGAAGATCAATTAGAATGTGAAGGAGAAGGAGAAGGTGAAGGAGAAGGTGAAGGTGAAGGTGATGGTGAATTAGAAGGTGATGATCAATTAGAATGTGAAGGAGAAGGAGACGGTGAAGGAGAAGGTGAAGGAGAAGGTGATAGTGAATTAGAAGGTGAAGATGAATTAGAATGTGAAGGAGAAGGTGAAGGAGAAGGTGATGGTGAATTAGAAGGTGAAGATCAATTAGAATGTGAAGGAGAAGGAGAAGGTGAAGGAGAAGGTGAAGGTGAAGGTGATGGTGAATTAGAAGGTGATGATCAATTAGAATGTGAAGGAGAAGGAGACGGTGAAGGAGAAGGTGAAGGAGAAGGTGAAGGAGAAGGTGATGGTGAATTAGAAGGTGAAGATCAATTAGAATGTGAAGGAGAAGGTGAAGGTGATGGTGAATTAGAAGGTGATGATCAATTAGAATATGAAGGAGAAGGAGACGGTGAAGGAGAAGGTGAAGGAGAAGGTGATGGTGAATTAGAAGGTGATGATCAATTAGAATATGAAGGAGAAGGTGAAGGGGAAGGAGAAGGTGAAGGAGAAGGTGATGGTGATTTAGAAGGTGATGATCAATTAGAATGTGAAGGAGAAGGAGAAGGTGAAGGAGAAGGTGAAGGTGATGGTGATGGTGAATTAGAAGGTGAAGATGAATTAGAATGTGAAGGAGAAGGAGACGGTGAAGGAGAAGGTGAAGGAGAAGGTGATAGTGAATTAGAAGGTGAAGATGAATTAGAATGTGAAGGAGAAGGTGAAGGAGAAGGTGATGGTGAATTAGAAGGTGAAGATCAATTAGAATGTGAAGGAGAAGGAGAAGGTGAAGGAGAAGGTGAAGGTGATGGTGAATTAGAAGGTGATGATCAATTAGAATATGAAGGAGAAGGAGACGGTGAAGGAGAAGGTGAAGGAGAAGGTGATTGTGAATTAGAAGGTGATGATCAATTAGAATATGAAGGAGAAGGTGAAGGGGAAGGAGAAGGTGAAGGAGAAGGTGATGGTGATTTAGAAGGTGATGATCAATTAGTATGTGAAGGAGAAGGAGAAGGTGAAGGAGAAGGTGAAGGTGATGGTGATGGTGAATTAGAAGGTGGAGATGAATTAAAATGTGAAGGAGAAGATGAAGGAGGAGAAGTGATGGTGAATTAGAAGGTGAAGGTGAAGGCAAAAGTGAAAGTGAATTGAAAAGTGAAGGAGAAGGTTAAGGTGATGGTGAATTAGAAGGTGAAGGTGCATTAGAAACTGGAGGAGGTTGAAGTTGAAGATGGAAGTGAAAGTGAGAGTGAAATAGAAAGTGAAGGAGAGGGTGAAGAAAAAAGTAATTAGAAGTAATTAGAAGGTGAAGGTGGATTAGAAGATGAAAGTGAATTGGAAAGTGAAGGAGAAGCAGAAGGAGAAGCAGACGGAGAATGTGAAAATGAAAGTGAATTAGAAAGTGGAGGAGAAGATGAAGGAGAAGGTCAAGGTGAATTAGAAAGTGAAGGAGAAGAAGGAGGAGAAGGAGGAAGGAAGTTTTCCAAGTTTTGGAACACTGGATCCAAGGGCACTAGACTTCCAATGAAAAGGACTAGGTGGATGGTCAGATTCAGGAGCTTTCTGGTTTGGAAACTGTTGATAAACAGTGGTCAGATGCCTGTTTAGGAGCCGAGTATAAAACAATTGTGATCTTCAGAGACAGACTGTTTAGGTCCATGAACCACCACCCTCCTAAGAGCCAAGAAAGGAATATAATCCACTATGGATTTCCTTAAAACCTTCTAAATTGGAGTGCTATGGGTTGGAGGAAAGGAGAAAACCCCTTGGAGAAGGCTATTTTTAAAGCATAACTGGTGAACTTGGACTCCAGTTACTACTGAGTCTCAGACAGAACTGGCCAATGCTAGGGCAGGATGATAATAATCTGAGAACTCCTCCTGACCCATATCTCAAGATACTCAAACGATAGTTATTCATAGGCAGAAAAGTAAATTAACTTTCCTTTTCTGCAGTAAACAACCATCTTCTGAGCATTTTGAGACCTCCCTTGTTTCTCCTGTTGATTCCACTGAATGTTCTCCATATTTTTTGCTTCTATGGATTCTCAACGTCCCACAACGCTCTCCCCATAGTTCCTACGTACAGCATGTATGTGATCACTCCCATGCTCCACATGTCGGTGGTGTAGGAGACTTGGTCATAGGTGACGACTTCAGGCGACAGGAACTCTGGGGTGCCAACGTTGACCTTCAGCTTCTCTTTGGGATTGAACCTGGGAGAGAAGAGAAGCTCTATTGATGCTCTAACATCCAGTCACGGTTCTCAAGAAGACCTCGATTCATTTACTTTATTTATTTCCCTCCCTTTTCACCAGAAGCCCGAGGAAAGAAAGCAAAGACTCTGGAGGCAACAGAGTCTGGGCAGAAGAAAGGCTCCGGGAAAGAAAATGGGCCACATTCATCAAGCTGGGAAGAACATTATCCAGCCTTCCATTTCCTTGGAATGAAGGCCCCATTAACACTGACCATTTAATGCAGCCACACAACAAAAGAAAACCCTATCCATGAAAGGAAATACTGGGTTGTTGTAGGTTTTTTCGGGCTATATGGCCATGTTCTAGAGGCATTCTCTCCTGACGTTTCGCCTGCATCTATGGCAAGCATCCTCAGAGGTAGTGAGGTCTGTTGGAACTAGGCAAAAGGGTTTATATATCTGTGGAATGACCAGGGTGGGACAAAGGACTCTTGTCTGCTGGAGCTAGGTGTGAATGTTTCAACTGACCACCTTGATTAGCATTTGATGGCTTGACAGTGCCTGGAGCAATCTTTTGTTGAGAGGTGATTAGATGCCTTGTTGTTTCCTCTCTGTTGTTTTGCTGTTGTAATTTTAGAGTTTTTTAATACTGGTAGCCAGATTTTGTTCATTTTCATGGTTTCCTCCTTTCTGTTGAAATTGTCCACATGCTTGTGGATTTCAATGGCTTCTCTGTGTAGCCTGACATGGTGGTTGTGAGAGTGGTCCAGCATTTCTGTGTTCTCAAATAATATGCTGTGTCCAGGTTGGTTCATCAGGTGCTCTGCTATGGCTGATTTCTCTGGTTGAAGTAGTCTTCAGTGCCTTTCATGTTCCTTGATTCGTGTTTGGGCAATGCTGCTGCGTTTGGTGTGCATGGTATACGGTAGACTCCTGCAGAGGTGAGAGGATCCCTCTCGTCCTTTGCTGAACGTAGCATTTGTTGGATTTTCTTGGTGGGTCTGTAGATAGTTTGTATGTTGTGTTTCCTCATCAGCTTCCCTCTGCGGTCAGTGGTTCCCTTGATGTATGGCACTGCCAGGCACTGCCAGGCCATCAAATGCTAATCAAGGTGGTCAGTTGAAACATTCACACCTAGCTCCAGCAGACAAGAGTCCTTTGTCCCACCCTGGTCATTCCACAGATATATAAACCCTTTTTCCTAGTTCCAACAGACCTCACTACCTCTGAGGATGCTTGCCATAGGTGCAGGCGAAACGTCAGGAGAGAATGCCTCTAGAACATGGCCATATAGCCTGAAAAAACCTACAACAACCCAGTGATTCCGGCCATGAAAGCCTTCGACAATACACAGAAAGTGGATCAATGACAGGTATTCTGGTTGTATATTTGTATATATTGCAACGGTTAAGATTAAAGCCTCTGGATAGTTTGGATGAACACCTGAATCCATGAGTTCACTATGCAATGTGTAGATATGGTCAGACACTGGGAGTTGGACTCTGTTGATAGTTAAATAGAAGCATATTTGTGCCATGAAAGGATTCTGCTGTGTTTTGCTTGCTTCTAGGATACTTTCTATCCAGCTTGCAGAGGTTCAGGGAGGTCATGATTTGGAAACTATAAATAATAATAATAATAATAATAATAATAATTATTATTATTATTATTATTATTATTATTCCGGGGAGAGGCGGGTGAGCTCCCTCTATCAGCTCCAGCTCCTCATGCGGGGACATGAGAGAAGCCTCCCACAAGGATGATAAAACATCAAATCATCCAGGCATCCCCTGGGCAATGTCCTTGCAGACGGCCAATTCTCTCACACCAGAAGCGACTTGCAGTTTCTCAGATCGCTCCTGACACAAAATAATAATAATAATAATAATAATAATAATAATAATAATAATACTTTATTTATACCCCGCCACCATCTCCCCAAGGGACTCAGAGCGGCTTACATGAGGCATTTTGTGGGGAAGGCTACGTTTTCAGGCTTCTCCTGAAGACTGCCAGTGTTGGGGCATGCCTAATATCCTTTGGAAGTGAGTTCCAGAGTCAGGGGGCCACCACCGAGAAGGCCCTCTCCCTCATCCCCACCAATCGTACCAGCAAATCCCATGACATATCAGTGCTCTGTGGTTTGTGTAGACACCATCCTGGCCTCAGACTGGTTCCAGGATTTTTCTATCTAATCAACCAATTTTTTTCTAATACCAGTTTGAAACTGCATTAAATGGTCATTGTAGATGGATCCCCAGTCAAGAAAGTAGTGGAACATAGCAAGAAGGCAGGCGTCAGACAAATAAGGATGGTGATTTTTGGCCACCTTCAGAGTTATACCTTCGGGCGAGTCCAAAATCGATGATCTTGACCATGTGACCCGTGGAAGTTACACACAGAATATTCTCTGGCTGCAGGAAAGAGAAAGCGAGTTAGCAAGTTGGGAAGGGTCTGAAATGGAGCTCCAGAGAAGTGGGGAAGGGATGCTGGTTCCCCAGAGAGAGGCTGAGAAAGCAGAAGCAGGAGAAAAGGGTTTCCTTTGACCCTCCAGGTAGAAATAAATACTGGTTTAGGTTAGGGCTAGAGCTAGTTAGACCAGGTTGAATCTGTTGGATAGAAATGCCCCAGCATTGTGTCTATGTGTAAAATACAGTTCTGATGGACATGTGATCACATACCTTTGGAATGACTAAGAGGGTAATGATGGCATGCAGAAATGGATGAGTTATAATCATGTGAGGTTTATGACAAGAGGTTGCATAATTCATTTGTCCCTTAGTGATGACAAGTCAGTAGGTAGTTATAAAAAAGAGGGGAAATGCTTGATCTCTCTCTTGCCTGTGTGTCTCTTGCTGTGTGGAAAAGTGTTGTGCTCGCAGAGCTCAGGCGGTGTTGTATTTTGGTGTCGATGTTGACTTTGGTGGAGAGGTGGCTGCCAAGGTAGCAGAAATGATCAACATTTTCTAATGTTACACCATTAAGCTGTATCACTGGCATTGGAGAGGGATTGGCTTGTGACTGCTGGAACAGAACCTTGGTTTTTTCAATGTTCAATGACAGGCCGGGACATCCGTAGGGATACCCAGGTGCTTGTTTATAGAGCTATTGTCCTCCCAACCCTGCTATATGCCTGTGAGACGTGGACTGTCTACAGACGTCACATGCAACTCCTGGAACGATTCCACCAAGGCTGCCTCTGGAAAATCCTGCAAATTTCTTAGGAAGACAGGCGGACAAATGTCAGCGTGCTGGAAGAAGCAAAGACCACCAGCATTGAAGCGATGGTCCTCCGCCATCAACTCCGCTGAACCGACCACGTTGTCCGGATGCCCAACTACCGTCTCCCAAAGCAGTTGCTCTACTCCGAACCCAAGAACGGAAAATGGAACGTTGGAGGACAGGAAAAGAGATTTAAAGATGGTCTCAAAGCCAACCTTAAAAACTCTGGCATAGACACTGAGAACTGGGAAGCCCTGGCCCTTGAGCGCTCCAACTGGAGGTCAGCTGTGACTAGCAGTGCTGCAGAATTTGAAGAGGCATGAATGGAGGGTGAAAGGGAGAAGCGTGCCAAGAGGAAGGCGCGTCAATCCAACCCTGACTGAGACCACCTTCCACCTGGAAACCAATGCCCTCACTGTGGGAGAAGATGCAGAGCCAGAATAGGGCTCCACAGCCACATATGGACCCACAAGGATATTAGAAGACAATCGTCGGAAAACAAGGGATCGCCTAAGTAAGTAAGTAAGTAAGTCTTGCTGTGTGTATGTTTGTTTGTGTGTGTATGTATGTGTGGACCATCAGAAGGTGTCGCCGTACCTTGAGGTCCAGGTGCAGGACCTGCATCTGGTGCATGAAGAGGATGCCGTCACAGATCTGCCGCACGAAGACCATGCAGTCCACCTCGGTCAGTGGGTAATCCTCATCAATGATCCTCTCAAAGAGCTCCCCGCCTTCCACGCTGCACAAGAGAAAGGGTTGCATGAGTCTTGGGTTGCGTACCTGCATCATTATTAGGTGAACCTAAAGGCAGAGCGTCATTGCAAAGTTACTTTTTGGATTACAGTTCCTAGAATCTCCCATGGCTACAGGCCAAGGGATTCTGGGAACTAAAGTGCAAAAAGGGGGAACTTTCCCAAGCTCCAATTAAAGACCCTCGAGGTTGATCTCTCGTTTGCCTCTTCCCAGAATCTCACATTTCCTCTCCACTTTCTTTCCCTTTTTTCTAGTTTTGCATTTTTGAAAAGGATTTCTCAATCCTGCACCACTTTTGGCAGCTCTTTTGCTTTCCTCCCATTTCCCTGCTCCCTGTGCCAATACCTGATTTGATCATGACTTTTGTCTGCTGTCTAATTTCCAAGGAGTTTGGGGCTGTTTACATAGGGATGGCCTTTTCACCTTCAGAATAGCCTAAGTATCTTAAAGGCATGGATCCCACCGGATACCAAAAGCTAAGCAGTAGGCATGGTTAGATACCATCGGAATCTTCGTAATTCAGAATAAAATTACCTTTTTGAAGCAATTTTGAAGTTTTTAAGAAAACCAGAAGTCCCTTTGCACTTCCGAAGCTTTTCCCACTATTTTTGTAATGACTCATTAAGTGAGTCGGAAATTATTCCGCTTTTCCCGCTTCTGGTCCCTGGCCTCGGCTCAAGCCAGAGAAGCCGTTTTAAACCAGAGAAGGAAGGAATTTCCTGGCCTCGGCTCAAGCCAGAGAAGCCAGTTTTAAACCAGAGAAGGAAGGAATTTCCTGGCCTCGGCTCAAGCCAGAGAAGCCAGTTTTAAACCAGAGAAGGGAGGAATTTCCTGGCCTCGGCTCAAGCCAGAGAAGCCAGTTTTAAACCAGAGAAGGAAGGAATTTCCTGGCCTCGGCTCAAGCCAGAGAAGCCAGTTTTAAACCAGAGAAGGAATTTCCTGGCCTCGGCTCAAGCCAGAGAAGCCAGTTTTAAACCAGAGAAGGAAGGAATTTCCTGGCCTCGGCTCAAGCCAGAGAAGCCAGTTTTAAACCAGAGAAGGAAGGAATTTCCTGGCCTCGGCTCAAGCCAGAGAAGCCAGTTTTAAACCGGAGAAGGAAGGAATTTCCTGGCCTCGGCTCAAGCCAGAGAAGCCAGTTTTAAACAGAGAAGGAAGGAATTTCCTGGCCTCGGCTCAAGCCAGAGAAGCCAGTTTTAAACCAGAGAAGGAAGGAATTTCCTGGCCTTGGCTCAAGCCAGAGAAGCTAGTTTTAAACCAGAGAAGGAAGGAATTTCCTGGCCTCGGCTCAAGCCAGAGAAGCCAGTTTTAAACCAGAGAAGGAAGGAATTTCCTGGCCTCGGCTCAAGCCAGAGAAGCCAGTTTTAAACCAGAGAAGGAAGGAATTTCCTGGCCTCGGCTCAAGCCAGAGAAGCCAGTTTTAAACCGGAGAAGGAAGGAATTTCCTGGCCTCGGCTCAAGCCAGAGAAGCCAGTTTTAAACCAGAGAAGGAAGGAATTTCCTGGCCTTGGCTCAAGCCAGAGAAGCTAGTTTTAAACCAGAGAGGGAAGGAATTTCCTGGCCTCGGTTCAAGCCAGAGAAGCCAGTTTTAAACCAGAGAAGGAAGGAATCTCCTCCTCTTGCTTTTCCCAGCTTCTGGTCCCTGGCCTCAGCAAAAGCCAGAGAAGCCAGTTTTAAACCAGAGAGGGAAGGAATTTCCTGGCATTGGCTCAAGCCAGAGAAGCCAGTTTTAAACCAGAGAGGGAAGGAATTTCCTGGCCTCGGTCAAGCCAGAGAAGCCAGTTTTAAACCAGAGAAGGAAGGAATTTCCTGGCCTCGGTTCAAGCCAGAGAAGCCAGTTTTAAACCAGAGAAGGAAGGAATTTCCTGGCCTCGGCTCAAGCCAGAGAAGCCAGTTTTAAACCAGAGAAGGAAGGAATTTCCTGGCCTCGGCTCAAGCCAGAGAAGCCAGTTTTAAACCAGAGAAGGAAGGAATTTCCTGGCCTCGGCTCAAGCCAGAGAAGCCAGTTTTAAACCGGAGAAGGAAGGAATTTCCTGGCCTCGGCTCAAGCCAGAGAAGCCAGTTTTAAACCAGAGAAGGAAGGAATTTCCTGGCCTTGGCTCAAGCCAGAGAAGCCAGTCTTAAAGCCAGAGAAGCCAATTTAAACCAGAGAAGGAAGGAACTTCCTCCACTTGCTTTTCTCTGCTTCTGGTCCCTGGTTTCATCTCAAGCCAGAGAAGCCAATTTAAACCAGAGAAGGAAGGAATTTCTTGGCCTTGGCTCAAGCCAGAGAAGCCAGTTTTAAACCAGAGAGGGAAGGAATTTCTTGGCCTTGGCTCAAGCCAGAGAAGCCAGTTTTAAACCAGAGAGGGAAGGAATTTCCTGGCCTCGGCTCAAGCCAGAGAAGCCAGTTTTAAACCAGAGAAGGAAGGAATTTCCTGGCCTCGGTTCAAGCCAGAGAAGCCAGTTTTAAACCAGAGAAGGAAGGAATTTCCTGGCCTCGGAAGGGAAGGAAAATAACTAGGAACTGTTTTATTATAGGAAATATACCTCTTGGAGGAATAATAGTTAATAGGCCTCTATACTGTTTAGAGTGCTGAAAGGAGGAAGGGAGATTTAGAAAGTTTAAAAAGATTCCTGTTTGGATTTGTGTGTGTGTAACTTTGTTTTAAAGAAACTCAAGATAGAAGTACCATCCTCTGTAACAAGAAAAGCCTGACAAGTTATCTGCAACCATTATGCTTACTGACTGTTCAAAATGAATGACATTTTCCTGTTTTATTCCCACTGAAGTCTTTGTGTGGCTCTTTAAACATCCCAGTGAAAGAGGTGGCCTATTAATATATTGGTGGCAGAAATAGAAATATTAATAATTATTAGGCAAGTGCAAATGCAAAATATAATATACAGTGGTGGCTTCCCACTGTCTGGCTTTGCATGAGTGAGGGTGTATGTGCTTTGGTTCCCTCCCGGCCTCATGTAGGGCAAAGCCTTGTTTGCCTTTCGTCCTCCAACTTTTGTGAGTGGTGTGCCTGGGGCAAATTCCACCTCCTGTCGCTCTATTGTTTGTTGTATTTGGTGACAGTTTGTTATAATTGGTGGCACCTGGTGGGTTATCGCAAATTGGTAGGCTAAACGGTTCCAGCCCAGCTTACCTGTCTGAACGTATCTCTCCTTGTGAACCACCTAGGACTTTAAGATCTTCTGGGGAGGCCCTGCTTTCGGTCCTGCCTCCTTCACAGATGAAGGAGGCAGGGCCTTCTCAGCGGTGGCCCCTCAACTGTGGAATGCCCTTCCTGGGGATATTAGATCGCCCCCCTCCCTCCTGACATTCTGTAAGAAGGTTAAAATGCAGGTTCGCAGCTTGGGAGTGATCCTGGACTCATCGCTGAGCCTGGAACCCCAGGTCTCAGCGGTGGCTGGGAGAGCTTTTGCGCAATTAAAACTTGTGCACCAGTTGCACCCGTACCTCGGGAAGTCTGATCTGGCCACGGTGGTCCACGCTCTTGTTACATCCTGAATAGACTACTGCAACGCTCTCTACGTGGGGTTGCCCTTGAAGACTGTTCGGAAACTTCAACTAGTCCAGCGAGCGGCAGCCAGACTGCTCACCGGAGCGACATACAGGGAGCATACCACCCCCCTGCTGTGCCAGCTCCACTGGCTGCCGATTCAGTTCCGAGCACAATTCAAGGTGCTGGTTTTGACCTACAAAACCCTGTACGGTTCCGGTCCAGTGTATCTGTCCGAACGTATCTCCCTCTACGTCCCACCCCGGAAGTTGAGATCATCTGGGGAGGCCCTGCTCTCGACCCCACCACTATCACAAGTGAGGCTGGTGGGGACGAGGAGCAGGGCCTTCTCAGTGGTGGCCCCTCACCTGTGGAACTCACTCCCGGGGGAAATCAGGGCATCATCATCCCTCCTCTCCTTCAGGAGGAGGGTGAAGACGTGGTTATGGGACCAGGCCTTTGGGCACTCTGGCAATTAAATCAGACAATCAGGCGAGTAAGACCAACAGGATTGATGAAGTGGAACGTAAAACTAGATCTATGAGTTAGCGAACGCTGACCATGTAAGAGGAGAAATTGGGTTTGTATTGGTTTTATTGATTTTATTGATTTTATGGTTATAATGCATGAATTGTTGTTAACTGTGAATTGATGTAATTTTGTGTATGATTGTGCCTTTGCTTTTGTAAGCCGCCCTGAGTCCCCTTCGGGGTGAGAAGGGCGGGGTAAAAGAACCCCAAAATAAATAAATAAATAAATAAATAAATAAAACCTGGCTCTTTGAGCAAGCTTTCGCTAATGCAACATAATTAGATAAAGATGAAATTCGGAATGCACTTGGATTACGATTTTAGTAAGGAGATGTTGAAGATTATGTTTTTATGGCCTTGTGCAGTTCTTATACTATATTTTAATGTTGTAATTGTATTTATAATCTGTTTTTAACTTGCATTTTATAGTTGTGGAGGCATCAAATTGTTGTCTGTTGTGAACCACCCACCCTGAGTCGCCTTCGGGCTGAGAAAGGCGGTATATAAATAAATGTGGTAAATAAATAAATAAATATTTTTGTTATACTATTCAGTGTCCGAAAGGCCATAATATTCCTGCCTTATGCAAATGTCCACCTAACTCCGATCAAAGGTTTATCTTTAGGTTGCAAATCATAGAATCATAGAGTTGGAAGAGACCTCATGGGCCATCCAGTCCAACCCCATTCTACCAAGAAGCAGGAATATTGCATTCAAATCACCCCTGACAGATGGCCATCCAGCCCCTGTTTAAAAACTTGCAAAGAAGGAGCCTCCACCACACTCCGGGGCAGAGAGTTCCATTGCTGAACGGCTCTCACAGTCAGAAAGTTCTTCCTCATGTTCAGATGGAATCTCCTTTCTTGTAGTTTGAAGCCATTGTTCCATTGCGTCCTAATCTCCAAGGAAGCAGAAAACAAGCTTGCTCCCTCCTCCCTGTGGCTTCCTCTCACATATTTATACATGGCTATCATATCTCCTTTCATCCTTCTTCAGGCTAAACATGCCCAGCTCCTTAAGCCACTCCTCATGGGGCTTGTTCTCCAGACCCTTGATCATTTGAGTCGCCCTCCTCTGGACACATTCCAGCTTAGAGTCAATATCACTCTTCAATTGTAGTGCCCAGAATTGGACACAATATTCCAGGTGTGGTCTAACTAAGGTGGAATAGAGTATGGGGAGCATGACTTCCCTAGATCTAGGCACTATGCTCCTATTGATGTAGGCCAAAATCCTATTGGCTTTTTTTGCCGCCACATGACATTGTTGGCTCATGTTTAACTTGTTGTCCACGAGGACTCCAAGATCTTTTTCACACGTACTGCTCTCGAGCCAGACCTCGTCCCCCATTCTGTATCTTTGCATTTCGTTTTTCCTGCCAAAGTGGAGTATCTTGCATTTGTCACTGTTGAACTTCATTTTGTTAGTTTTGGCCATTCATCTCTCTAATCTGTCAAGAGAGATGGCCTTGACAGATTAAATAGCCTACTTAAAGTTCACTGTATATTGCACACATCCTTTTTAACCCAGTTCTTTTGAGTACTAGAAGCATGGTAGTTTAAAGCAAAGCCAAGCAAAAACAAAGGCTCCCGTTCTGTCATAAAATGAGGACCAGACCTGGGAACTTCTACATGTATAGCCAATGATCTGCCATTCATCCACAGGGCAACCCCTGCCTGTGCCCAAACCCTCCTTGTTCTCTCTCGCAACTCACAACTCCATGAAGAGCATAATCGTCTTTGGCGTCTCGATGGCATCATAGAGCTGAATCAGATTCCGGTGGTTCAGCTGATTCATCACATCGATTTCCACGTTGACCATCTCCTGCAAAGCAACGGCAGTGGGTTACATAGTGGAACAGCAACTACCTAAGGCTCTGCAAGAGGAATGTGCGAGGCCAGAGGCAGCAGCGAGATACACTGACACAAGAGAGCTGAGCTCTGAAAATATCTTTCTGTGTGGGTTGGACTTCCTCAATGTCTCCAAATTGAACTCCAGATCTCAGCATCAGTCCCCTAGCCAGCCATGCCACAGTTTGGAAACTTCACTTTTTGGATTCCATTTCTCCTTCCAAATCTCTACAAACTGTTCAGATAGCCATGGAGAGAACTGACTAAGTAACAAACAGAATAACTGGACAGTCAAAAGGTTACACTGAAGTGGCACTTCAATACTTCAACTGTCTTAGCTATAGTTCAGTGTTTCTCAACCTTCCTCATGTGACGACCCCTTAGTACAGTTCCTCGTGTGGTGGTGATCCCCAACCATAACATTATTCTACTTCAGAACTGTAATTTTGGTGGAGCCCCCAGTGGCGCAGTGGGTTAAATCCCTGTGCCGGCAGTACTGAAGACCAACAGGTCGCAGGTTCGAATCCGGGGAGAAGCGGATGAGCTCCCTCTATCAGCTCCAGCTCCTTATGTGGGGACATGAGAGAAGCCTCCCACAAGGATGATAAAACATCAAAATCATCTGGGTGTCCCCTGGGCAACGTCCTTGCAGACAGCCAATTTTCTCACACCAGAAGCAACTTGCAGTTTCTCAGTTTGCTCCTGACATGACAAAAAAACCAAAACAAACAGACTGTAATTTTGCCACTATTATGAATTGTAATGTAAATATCTGATATGCAGGATGTATTTTCATTCAGTGGACCAAATTGGGCACAAATACCCGATGCGCCCACATTTACATACTGGTGGGGTTTGCAGGTGGGGGGAGGGGGGAGAGATTGACTTTGTCATTTGGGGGTTGTAGTTACTGGGATTTATAGTTCACCACAATCAAAGAGCATTCTGAACTCGACCAACAATGGAATTGAACCAAACTTAGCACACAGAACTCCCGTGACCAACAGAAAATATTGGTAGGGTTTGGTGGGCATTGACCTTGAGTTTTGGAGTTGTAGTTCACCTACATCCAGAGAGCACTGTGGACTCAATCAATGATGGATCTTGACCAAACTCTACACAAATACTCAATATGCCCAAATGTGAACACTGGTGGAGTTTGGGGAAAATAGACTTGACATTTGGGAGTTGTAGTTGCTGGGATTTATAGTTCATCTATGATCAAAGAGCCTTCTGAACTCCACCAATGATACAATTGGGCCAAACTTCCCATACAGAATCCCCATGACTAACAGAAAATTCTGTGTTTTCTGATCGTCTTTGGTGACCCCTTTGACACCCCCTCGCAACACCCCAAAATCCTGATCCCCATGTTGAGAACCACTGCTCTAGTTTATGGAATCCTAAGGTTGGAGCTACAGATTATCAGAGCAGATGATTCATTTTATCTGCTTTGAACTGGATTATATGAGTCTACACTGCCATATTATCCAGTTCAAAGCATATAATCTGGATTTTGTATGGCATTGTAGATGGGTGGCTCGATATCATAGATGGGGCCTAAGTTACTGGCATTTGTACTTTGGGGAAGTACTTTGTAAGACAGCTCTCATTTACTCCACTGAACTACAGTTCCCAAAGTATCCAGCTTTAATTAAGGCTGAATCTACACTACCATATAAAATCCAGGTGATCTGCTTTGAACCGGATTATATGACAGTGTAGACTCATATAATCCAGTTCAAAGCAGATTATGCAGATGATCTGCTTTGAAAATCTGGATTATATGGCAGTCTAGAAAAGGCCCTAGTCCTTTTTTACAGAGTTCCTTGGGAACTGTACTTTGGGAAAACGAAGCACAGTCTTGCAGACAACTGCAAACTACAAATCCCAGAACTATGTCAAAATGGGCACCAGACTGTTATGACAGTGAAGTGTGGAGACATTCTTTATTCTCAGGCCCAACCAGACACAGAATGTACTATGCATCACCTCACACTATCTATAAACTCTTTACCAGAAGTGGAAAGAAACTTTTCACATGACAGCCATCCTGGAAAACTAGGCATGAAGCGACACTTGTGGCACAATATACTCAGGAAGAATCACGCCATCACCATGTATATTTGTACAATTCCTCGGAAGACATACCTTGTCTTTTGGACCCATCACCTTGATTGTTTTCACAGCGAGCTTCAGGCCTGTCTCCTTCACTGTGCACACACGGACCTCTCCAAACTTCCCTCTGTGGAACACAGCATGAAAACAACACTGCATGAACAGTTCTCTCAAATCTTTTTTCAGTGTTTCCAAAAACTCCCTCCCCACATCTGATTTAACTCCCTAATCCAAGTTGTAAGTCTAGATCAGTCAGAATCCAGGATCTCCAGCTCATCCCCTGTTTGGATATCAGCAAGCACGTCAACGACTTAAATCAAGAAATAGTTTTCTAAGATCTACAGAGACACTCGCTGGAACACCCCAGCAAGCGAGAGTCCAAAAGTGGCAGGCTCAAACCCAGAACCTCAATCCATGGCTGATACCAAATGAGAGACTCCCCCCTGGGCACACAGAAAACTGGGCGACTTGGAAGGTGCTGAACAGGCTGCGCTCTGGCACCACGAGATGCAGAGCCAACCTTAAGAAGTGGGGCAACAAAGTGGAGTCCATGACATGTGAGTGTGGAAGAAACCAAACCACAGACTACCTACTACAATGCAGACTGAACCCTGCCACATGCACAATGAAGGACCTTCTCACAGCAACACCAGAGACACTCCAAGTGGCCAGCTAATGGTCAAAAGACATTTGATATAATGCCAAGTTTTCAAACTTTGTGGTTTTGTTTGTTTGTTTGTTGTTGTTGTTTTAAAAAAATACATAACAATTGTACCCTTGGTTTGCTCCTGATACAATAAATAAATAGTCAGAAACCATCCCTCTCCATGTTCCCTTTTTCCCTTTCTCCTAGTCTCCTTCCACACGGCTATATAAAATAATAATAATAAAAAAATAACACTTTATTTATATTCCGCCCTTCTCACCCCAAAGGGGACTCAGGGCGGATCACAAGTACACATAAACGACAAACATTCAGTGCTGTTTGTGTAGACAGTAGGCCTGTGCGGTTTCGTTCGTTAATTCGTTAATTCGTTATTAATTCGTTAATTTTACCATTTCCGAAGTGATATTGAAACATATTTCCAAACCCGGAAGGGTTTTTAAATATCGAACCAGCAACCCCCATAGTTTTAACGAGCCTCCGCTCGTTTCGTTAATGGGGTGGAGGCTGCTGGAGTGCTGGTGCATGGGAGCCAATCCGGCGCTCCCAAGCAGTGCACCATGGGTCCGTGGCTGTCTCTTTTCGATTGGCCGGCGAGCCCTTTCAAAGCGGCTCCGCGCGGCCCGTAGCTTGCTGGAGGGCGAGGGAGTTTGCATTGGATTGCCTTGGCAATGGCTGCCTGCTAGCAACTGGGATTGGATTCATTCCTTGCTGCTGTGAGTGCTGCTTGCTTCATTTGCTGTCTCTTGCCTGTGTTTGGTCCACATTTGGGCCATTTTTTGGTTAATTGTCCATTTTAAAATATTTTTAATATTATTTTTTAATATTATTTTTAATATTATTTTAATATTATTTTTAATATTATTTTTTAATATTATTTTTAATATTATTCTTAAAAAATATTCTAAAAAAGAAAAGACTCTTCTGTTGGTGTGTGCTCTCATTTGCTGTCTGCCTGTGTTTGGTCCACATTTGGGCCATTTTTTGGTTAATTTTCCATTTTAAAATATTTTTTAATATTATTTTAATATTATTCTTAAGAAATACAAAAAATATTCTAAAAATTCGTTAATATTTACAAAATTTCTTAAATACCAAAACTTTTTTTGGAAAGTTTTGTAATTATTTTAAATATCGAAACAAAAAAACACCCCAATTACAAATCGATTTTAGAAACAAATTTTTTCTTGATCAAACAGACCTAGTAGACAGTACACAGAGGGTGCTGTCGCTCCATCCTCTATGACGAAGAGCCATCAGAACTTCCTCATTCCAGCATTTCCTGATCTTCTTTTCCTTTATGACATTGTAAGACACCTCCCCCGCTTTTAGCGGTACCTAATTTCTCTAATTACAGCTAAAGCTGTTTTCGAACTGCTTAGGTAAACAGTGAGCAGGGCTGACAGTCGGCCGCTCATGCCGACCCGGGGCTTTGAACTTGCAACCTTTCGGTTGATAGATCTTATAGTTGCTGATGATTTACCAGCAGTGTTAAACCTCCCCGATGATCTGCTTTGAACTGCATTATATGGCAGTGTAGACTCATATAATCCAAGTCAAAGCAGATCATGTGGATTATCTGATTGCAAAACCTGGATTATATGGCAGTGTAGAAGGAACCCTACTCCAAACTGGGAACTCCAAGGGGGAAGCAAGTTTTTTTTGTCTCTTAAACTATAGAACAATATGCACACTGATTGTATATACGCAAAGACTACTGTTGATAATATAGTAGGCAGTTTTGAAGAGTTGGATACAATTCCTAAAATCCTCTAAACAGTGTGGTCATTGGGTAAGAGTTGGGTACAACTCCTAGAATCCTCTAGACAGCATGGTCACTGGGCAAGGTGGGTATTATATAGAGTTCTGGGAGCTTTAGCCCACAAAAATGTGGAAGTGGCCAGTGAGGAAAAATATCATCTCCTTACCCTCCGAGCATCTCCTTGGTGTTGATGCTGTAGGTGTCTTTGATTTCTCCTGTTCTTAGTTTGACAATGCGGTGAGCGAAAGGTGCCAGTGGCGGAGGAGTGTCATCTGGGAGAGAAAGAAAAAAGGATTGGCATATGTAATGTTTGTCATGGAGTCAATGCAACGTAGTTGTTTGAGTGCCGGACAGGGGCGGCTCAACCCATTACGCAAAGTAAGCATTTGCAGTATAGTTGACTTTGCCCAGGGGCATTCTTGAGGCGCTCTTGGGGGAAAACAGACCTTGACATATGTGAGTTGTAGTTACTGGGATGTATAGTTCACCTACAACCAAAGAGCATTCTGAACTCCACCAATGATGGAATTGAACCAAATATGGCACACAGAACTCCCACGACAAACAGAAAATATATATCAGTGATTGGTTGGTTTTTTTTTTGGGGGGGGGGGCAAAATACTGTTTGCTTACCATTGAAAATTACCTAGGGCCACCTCTGGTGCCGGACCACAACTTTAGGCAGGCATGGGTAAACTTGGGCCCTCCAGGTGTTTTGGACTCCAATTCCCACAATTTCTAGCAACTAACAGCCTAGAGGGCCCAAGATGCCCATGCCTTCTCTGCAATCTTGCTTCCCGGCCTCGACCTCGCCAGCACTGGTTAATAGGCATATGAGATCTTCATAGGGCACTCATGAGATGACAACAGCCCAAAACAAGTGAGAGCAACTAAAAGGATCAAGGGTCTGGAGAACAAGCCCTATGAGGAGCGGCTTACAGAACTGGGCATGTTTAGTCCTCAGAAGATCAGGCTGAGAGGAGACATGATAGCCATGTATAAGTATGTGAGAGAAAGTCATAGGGAGGAGGGAGCAAGCTTCTTTTCTGCTGCCCTGGAGATTAGGACGTGAAACAATGGCTTCAAACTACAAGAAAGGAGATTCCATCTGAACATTGTGAGAGCTGTTCAGCAGTGGAACTCTCTGCCCCAGAGTGTGGTGAAGGCTCCTTCTTTGGAGGCTTTTAAACAGAGGCTGGATGGCCATCTGTCGGGGGTGTTTTGAATGCAATTTTCCTGCTTCTTGGCAGAATGGGGTTGGACTGGATGGCCCATGAGGTCTCTTCCAACTCTAAGAGTCTATGATTCTGCATCACTTCCACAAAGGAGAATTTTCAAGGCATGTTCATAGGCTGACATCTACTGGCAAACTTGTCAAAGTGCATTTGAAGAAAGCCAATGACTGGGAATCCCCACGGCTGTGACTAAATTGTCCAGAGCCAGTCACACTCTCTCAGCCTCAGAAAGGCATGGGAAAATCCCCTCTGAGCATACCTTTCCAGGATTCTAGATTCACCGTATGGTCGCCATAGGCCAGAAAAAGCAGCAAGAAATCTGAATTATTTTTAGGATGTATGGCCATGCTCCAGTAGCATTCTTTCCTAATGTTTTGCTTCATCTGTGGCTGTCATCTTCAGAGGTTTTGTTGGCAGTGAGGCAAGTGGAGTGTATATATACCTGTGGAATAATGTCCAGGGTGGAAGGAAGAATGGTTGTTTGTTTAGAGCGGTGGTTCCCAAACTTTTGTTTTGACCAGGGACCACTCTCCAACATTAGTACCAAAAGGGTTACAAATCTGTTTTTGGTCAGCCAGGTTATTTGGGGTGTGGATTCAGAAAATTGCATTCAATAGACCACATCAGCTCTAGTTTCTGATACAGAGCATATGCCATCCAGTAGTCGCCATCTGCTCGCCCACAAAAAAAAAACACATTTAATACGCCTTGGCACTCTAAGAGGGTTTTGCAAGATAAGTTGCTCTCATTGCAATCACAGTGAGGCTGTAGACTATATTTTAGTTCTTGCGGACCACTGGTGGTCCACGGATCACAGACTGGGAACCACTGGTTTAGAGCAAGTGTGAATGTTGCAATTTTTTTTTTCTGTGTCAGGAGCAACTTGAGAAACTGCAAGTCGCTTCTGGTGTGAGAGAATTGACTGTCTGCAAGGAGGTTGCCCAAGGGACGCCTGGAAGTTTTGATGTTTTACCATCCTTGTAGGAGGCTTCTCTCATGTCCCTGCATGGGGAGCTGGAGCTGACAGAGGGAGCTCATCCGTGCTCTTCCTAGATTCGAACCTGTGACTTGTCGGTCTTCAGTCCTGCCTGCACAAAGGTTTAACCCATTGCACCACCGGGGGCTCTTTTGTTGCAATTAGCCAGCTTGAATAGCATTGAGTAGCCACGAAGCTGCAAAGGGATTCCTCAACTTTGTTAGGGATTCCTCAACTTTGGATAAGGAAGGGGAGCAGGGAAATGCTCAGGAATTGGAGGGAGAAAAAGAATCAGATGAGGAGGGTTTGAAAGTGCCCACATTTCTAGAGAGACAAAAAGAGACAGAGCACAGAGGGCATTCAGCTAGGATAGCTGCTAAAAACGCTAAGCTAATTGGGAGACGCCCTAGAGGTACTAGGGCATCTCCCAATTAGCTCAGCGTTTTTAGCAGCTGCGTGAGGAATTCAGGGCTATATATCAGAGGCAGGAGCAGTCAGCTTTCGCTGGTAACAATGATCCTGATACTGATGTTTTCACTTCAATGGAATCTGCTTAGTGTCTGCTGCTAAGGACTTCGTTCATTGCCCGCTGTCTGATGGAGGACTGGTGTTTCTTTTGGGACTTTGTAAGAGACTTTGATTTGTGTCTGGATTAAGACTTCCTTGCTTTCTTTTGCACTTTTCAATTGCATTTGCTTATCCTTTGTGTTTGCTGAAGTAAAGCATTTTTCTTTTACTTACAAAATTGTCTAAAGGCTGTTTTTGGAGGGCACTGAGGACAAAAGTCAATCAGAGAGGGTATCTGCATAGAGTTTGACTTTGCAAAACTGCATGGCTACTCAAATACTAATTCAAGCTTGCTAGTTGCAACATTCACACTTTATTTAAACAGACAAGGGTTCTTGTATGTTTTAAAAAACTCCTGTATCCATCCTAAAATCATAGAACTGTAAGAGGCTACAAGCACTGAATAGCCATGAAGTTTGCAAAGTCAATCAGTGATGGTAGCCTTGTCTCTGTTGCCTGATTGTCTGTGCAGCTTCATGGCAACTCAATGCTATTCAAGCACGCTAATTGCAACATTCACACTTCCTTTAAACAGCCATGGATTCTTTCTTTCTTCCACCCTGGACATTATTCCACAGAGAGAGAGAGATACACACACTCTTCTAGCATAATTTCCAACAGACCTCTGAAGATGCCATTAGCCACAGATGTAGGCAAAATGTCAGGAGAGAATGCTGCTGGAACATGGCCACCCAGCCCGAAAAACTCACAGTAACCCATTGATTCCAGCCATAAGAGCCTTTGACAATACACATTTGAAAGACACTGTGATGTACTATGACTCAACAGGAACTATCTTTGCCCCATGGTACACCCCCAAAAAGGGTCACCCCAGTCTCTAAGACAATGTAAGATGAAGTCATTTGATATAGAAGCCATTTGGAGGAATCTGTAAAGGAGAACGCATATGATGAGAACACTGCTTTGAGGTTCCTACCAATATTGTTGACAATGCTGGGGTCTTCGGTATTGTTATCGCAAGGGTTTGACCATGTGCCTGATAACCTTAACTCAAGGCCCCTTCTATATTATTATTAATAATAATAATAATAATAATAATAATAATAATAATAATAGGGACTCGGTGCGGCTTACATGAGGCCAAGCCCACAGTACATCAATAAACAAAAGCAATAACAATAATCAATACAAAACAGTTAAAATAAACTCAAAAACAGAAAATACACAATAAGCAATAGACAATAACAATTGCCATATAATCCAGATTATCAAAGGAGATCATCAACATTATCTGGTATGAGAGAATTGGCCATCTGCAAGGACGTTGCCCAGGGGACACCCGGATGATTTGATGTTTTTATCATCCTTGTGGGAGGCTTCTCTCATGTCCCCGCATGAGGAGCTGGAGCTGATAGAGGGAGCTCATCCGCCTCTCCCCGGATTCGAACCTGCGACCTGTCAGTCTTCAGTCTTGCTGGCACAGGGGTTTAACACACTGGCGCATACCAGAAGCGACTTGCAGTTTCTCAAGTCGCTCCTGACACGATAAAAAAAATTCAACATTATCTGCTTGGAACTGGATTATATGAGTCCACACTGCCATATAATCCAGTTCAAAGCAGATAATCTGGATTTTATATGGTAGTGTAGAAGGGGCCTTATATCTACATCAACAAAGGGGGCTAGAACTGCTTTTGTCCCCTTTAAGAGCAGGTCCTTTGTAAAGCCTGACTCCTCCCAGATCAACTCACTTCAGAAGCTCTCCAAAGCTCTAGGTGCTCTTACTGCCTATTACAGGGAAAACCAGCTGATCCCTAATCCATCTAAAACACAGACATGTGCCTTTCACCTTAAGAACAGACAAGCATCCCGAGCTCTGAAGATTACCTGGGAAGGAATCCCACTGGAGCATTGCAGCACACCCAAATACCTGGGAGTCACTCTGGACCGTTCTCTGACCTACAAGAAGCACTGCCTGAACATCAAGCAAAAAGTGGGTGCTAGAAACAATATCATACGAAAGCTGACTGGCACAACCTGGGGATCACAACCAGACACAGTGAAGACATCTGCCCTTGCGCTATGCTACTCTGCTGCTGAGTATGCATGCCCAGTGTGGAACACATCTCACCACGCTAAAACAGTGGATGTGGCTCTTAATGAGACATGCCGCATTATCACAGGGTGTCTGCGCCCTACACCACTAGAGAAATTACACTGCTTAGCCAGTATTGCACCACCTGACATCCGCCGGGAAGTAGCAGCCAATAGTGAAAGGATCAAGGCAGTGACATCTCCAGCTCATCCCCTGTTTGGGTATCAGCCAACAAGTGAACGACTTAAATCTAGAAATAGTTTTCTAAGATCTAGAGACACTCACTGGAACACCTCAGCAAGCGAGAGCCCAAAAGTGGCAGGCTCAAACCCAGAACCTCAATCCGTGGGTGATACCAGGTGAGAGACTCCCCCCTGGGCACACAGAAGACTGGGCGACTTGGAAGGCGCTGAACAGACTGCGCTCTGGCACCACGAGATGCAGAGCCAATCTTAAGAAATGGGGCTACAGGGTGGAATCCTCGGCATGCGAGTGCGGAGAAGAACAAACCACTGACCACCTGCTGCAATGCAACCTGAGCCCTGCCACATGCACAATGGAGGACCTTCTTGTGGCAACACCAGAGGCACTCCAAGTGGCCAGATACTGGTCAAAGGACATTTAACCAACTACCAAGTTTGCAAAATCTGTGTTTTTCTTTTTCTTTTTAATCTGTGTGTTTGTTTTGTTCTGTTAGAATTGTAACACAATGGTATGGTTGCTGATGACACGATAAATAAATAACTCACTTCAAACAAAATATTTTGCATCATCCCATTATCCAATGATAGTGTTAGCAGAACTGCTATTGGGATACCTTTCATTCCAGGCACCTGCTTTGCAATTGAGCTCTGCATCTTCCTGACACATTGGAGACCACAAGAGCATTCGGATTCTGCCTTCCTCTATTCCCTGTGGAAAAGATATGCAGGAGAGAGGCCCTGCAGTCACTGTCTCCTCATCTCCCCTGTGCTTTGCTTCAGAGATTTCCGAGGGTTGAATGAAAAGTAATGCCTCCACCTTTGTTACTTGGGTTTGGATGGGAATATTTTAATAAATGAAATGCAGATATAATCCTTAGAATGTGCTCTTTAACTACCAGTATTCACTTTTCCACATAGGTAAAGGTAAAGGTTAAGTCCAGTCATGTCTGACTCTGGGGTGTGGTGCTCATCTCCATTTCTAAGCCGAAGAGCCAGCGTTGTCCGTAGACACCTCCAAGGTCATGTGGCCAGCATGACTGCATGGAGCGCTGTTACCTTCCTGCCGGAGCGGTACCTATTGATCTACTCACATTTGCATGTTTTCGAACTGCTAGGTTGGCAGAAGCTAGGGCTGACAGCGGAAGCTCACGCCGCTCCCCGGAATCGAACCTGCGACCTTTCGATCAACAAGCTCAGCAGCTCAGTGCTTTAACCCACTGTGCCACCGGGGGCTCCTATAAACACATAACCACCAGACAATTGGATACTTTTGTGCCAACAATGAACAATTTTTCCGAAGCTGTCACGGAAGAAATCAACACTCTGTTTCCGCAACCAGCGTCTCACAGTTCTCTCATCCTGGGTACCAATCGTGCACAGATCTTCCGATAGTCAAGCAAAGCAATCATGTGACCCACACGTTCTTGTGCAATATCGATTATGCTTGAAATTTCTCTCTGAGTAATACGATGATTGTCCTGAATCAATCTGTCAACTTTTGCTTGTGAAACTCAGTGGTTGCTGTCACAGGACGTCCAACTCTTTGTTAGTCCCGCAAGTCAGATGTTCCCACCTCAACATCTTTAAACTTAGTGGGTTGTTGTAGGTTTTTTCGGGCTATATGGCCATGTTCTAAAGGCATTTTCTCCTGACGTTTCGCATGCATCTATGGCAAGCATCCTCAGAGGTTGTGAGGTCTGTTGGTACATGAAAGGCACTGCAGACGACTTCAACCAGAGAAGTCAGCCATAGCAGAGCACCTGATGAACCAACCTGGACACAGCATATTATTTGAGAATACAGAAATGCTGGACGACTCCAGCAACCACCATGTAAGACTACACAGAAAAGCCATTGAAATCCACAAGCTAATCAAGGTGATCAGTTGAAACATTCACACCTGGCTCCAGCAGACAAGGGTCCTTTGTCCCACCCTGGTCTTTCCACAGATATATAAACCCTTTTTCCTAGTTCCAACAGATCTCACTACCTCTGAGGATGCTTGCCATAGATGCAGGCGCAATGTCAGGAGAGAATGCCTCTAGAACATGGCCATATAGCTCGAAAAAACCTACAACAACCCAGTGATTCCGGCCATGAAAGCCTTCGACAATACATCTTTAAACTTACTCGCCCAACGATGCACAGTACGCACATCAACACAATCACCATAAACAGCCTGCATTCTCTGATGAATCTCCTTTGGGGTGACACCTTTTGCTGTGAAGAATTCAATGACTGCATGTTGCTTATGTCAGATTGACCGACCGTCTGCACAGGGTTCCATACTTCGCACTTTAACAACACAACTGTTCAATGCTAAGGCTTCTTACCAAAATGGAAATGTAGAGGAGAGTCTACTGAACAAGCCAGTACCTGCCGCATACCAGTATTGCCATCTGTTGAGGAGTTACGAAGGTGGAGGCATTACTTTTCATTCAACCCTCGTAGCTTGACATTTTTCTCACCTGTCTTTCAAGGTTTCTTCTCAGCTACGGATTCCCAGGTTCCTGAATTCTGCAAACCCTACAACTGCAGAAGGAAACTGCAGTTGCCTAAATAGGTTCAGCTTCAAGCAACATAACTAATTAACATCCAACATCTACTATCCTTTGCCATTTTAATTATTGGCTTTATATAAACTGAGTAGAACCCAGTATCCATGGGACTGATACAGTTTCATTTGCCCACATCTGGCAAAATATATTCCCTCTAACCCTTTTCTAGAGCCTTTGAGCAATTGTATGTTGTTGTTCATTCATTCAGTCATCTCCGACTCTTCGTGACCTCATGGGCCAGCCCACGCCAGAGCTCCCTGTCGGCCGTCACCACCCCCAGCTCCTTCAAGGTCAGTCCAGCCACTTCAAGGATGACATCCATCCATCTTGCCCTTGGTCGGCCCCTCTTCCTTTTGCCTTCCACTTTCCCCAGCATCATTGTCTTCTCCAGGCTTTGCTGTCTCCTCATGATGTGGCCAAAGGACTTCAACTTTGTCTCTAGTATGACATACAGTCCAATTGCAACATCTGCAGAGGATACGTTCCAGGATTTATTTTGCATGGATATGCAAAACTATGGATACTAGCCAACCATCTTGAATGAACAACTTATATTGGAAGCTGACCGTACAGTAACACTGGAGGACCTAGGGATGTTTAGGGAGGTGTGTTAATATAATAATAATAATAATAATAATAATAATAATAATAATAATAAGCCATTAGAACAAATACCATCAAAACCAGAATTGAAAAGTCGACAACAGATCCCAAATGTAGACTCTGCAAGGAAGCAGATGAAATGACAGATCCCATCCTCAGCTGCTGCAAGAAGATCGCGCAGATAGACCACAAGCAGAGGCAGAACACCGTAGCTCAGATGATTAATTGGAACTTGTGCCACAAACACCATCTGCCTGCAACAAAGAACTGGTGGGATCACAAGCCGGAAAAAGTTACAGAGAATAAACACGGCAAACTCCTCTGGGACTTCCGAATTAAGACAGACAGAGTTTTGGAGCACAAGACTTCTGATCTCACGATTGTGTTAAAAAACCGAATGTGGATTGTCAATATTACAATCCCAGGAGACAGCAGGATTGAAGAGAAACAACTGGAAAAGCTGACACTATATGAGGATTTAAAGATCGAACTGCAAAGACTCTGGTGCAAGCCAGTCAAGGAGGTCCCAGTGGTGATCGGCACACTGGGTACAGTGCCTAAAGACCATGGCCTGCACTTAAACACAATCAGAACTGATGAAATTACCATCTGCCAGCTGCAGATGGCAACCTTACTGGGATCTGCACACATTAATCGCCGATACATCACACAGTCCTAGACACTTGGGAAGTGTCTGACATGTGATCCAACACAACAGCCAGCTGAGTGTCTGCTGTGGACTCATCTTGTGTTTCAAATAATAATAATAATAATAATAATAATAATAATAATAATAATAATAATAATAATAATAATAACAACAAGCCATCAGAACAAATGTCTTCAAAGTCGAATTGAAAAGTTGATGACAGATCCCAAATGCAGACTCTGCAAGGAAGCAGATGAAACAATAGATCACATCATCGGCTGCTGCAAGAAGATCGCGCAGACAGACTACAAGCAGAGGCACAACACCGTTGCTCAGATGATTCTTTGGAACCTGTGCCACAAATACCATCTGCCTGCAACAAAGAACTGGTGGGATCACAAGCCGGAAAAAATTGAACAAGCCAAACTACTCTGGGATTTCTGAATTCAGACAGACAGAATTGTGGAGCACAATACTCCTGACCTCACAATCGTGTTAAAAAACAAAGTATGGATCGTCGATGCATCCCAGGTGACATTGAAGAGAAACAACTGGAAAAACTGACACAATATGAGGATTTAAAGATTGAACTGCAAAGACTCTGGCACAAGCCAGTCAAGGGAGTACCAGTGGTGATCGGCACACTGGGTGCAGTGCCTAAAGACCTTGGCCTGCACTTAAACACAATCGGCGCTGACAAAATTACCATCTGCCAGCTGCAGAAGGCCACCTTACTGGGATCTGCACGCATTATTCGCCGATACATCACACAGTCCTAGACGCTTGGGAAGTGTCTGACATGTGATCCAATACAACAACCAGCAGAGTGATCTTGTCTGCTGTGGAGTCATCTTTTTTGTGGTTTTGTCACAAGTGGATGGTAAAGCAACAGCTCCCCCAGTGGCCAGAATCCAGAATTCAAGAAGCATTCCCTCATGAAGATGGAAAGTTAAATAGCATCTGTGTGTCTGTCTATATATGTTGTGTGTCTATGACATTGAATGTTTGCCATGTATGTGTGTATTGTGATCCGCCCTGAGTCCCCTGTAGGGTGAGAAAGGCAGAATATAAATACTGTAAATAAATAAATAAAAGGATTGTAACCCATGGATGGCCTGTATCTCATTCCCCATCACCATCTCCCACTGCTCCCCACTTCTACCGCTTGCTCCGACCAATGTGGCCACAGACCAGGGATGCCCAAGGTCTCGGTGGCCTTACCCAAGATCATAGTCGGGTCTTCTTTGCCAAAGTCCGGCGTGAGGTAGGGTCCGGTTGTAGGGGCTGGCACGAAGGGAGGAGCGCTGACCTCTGGCGGGGAGGCCACATCCGCCTTGCTTTCGGAAGGTACCTGTCCAGCTGGAAGGGACTCCTTTGCTGAGGCTGAGGCCACAGAATCCGCACTTGTGCTCTCTGGAGCCAAATCAGGCTTTTGGGCCAAAGTCCTTTCGGCCTCCTTCTCGGTCGGAAGCGGTTGCCCTCCAGCCGGATCCTGCGCTAGGACAGGAGACTCCACATCCTTGGATTCGTCGACCTTTGGTTCTTCTTTTGGCTTCTGCTCCCCTTGAGTGTCCAAAACTTCCTCAGGAATATCTTCCAAGCTGAAACAGTGAAGCAGCAGAAGTTATCTAGTTACCTACGGTAGTTTGATAAGTATAACACAACAATAAAGTTTGCATTGGAGGAAGTAATCATGACAACGAAATGCACATATACTTAGAAGGGTGATGCCTGGCCAGAGGCAGCCCTAGGTAATTTTCAATGGTAAGCAAACAGTACTGGAAAAAGATCTTGGAGTCCTCGTGGACAACAAGTTAAACATGAGCCAACAATGTGATGGGGCGGCAAAAAAAGCCAATGGGATTTTGGCCTGCATCAATAGGAGCCTAGTGTCTAGATCTAAGGAAGTAATGCTACCCCTCTATTCTGCTTTGGTTAGACCACACCTGGAATATTGTGTCCAATTCTGGGCACCACAATTCAAGAGAGATATTGACAAGCTGGAATGTGTCCAGAGGAGGACGACTAAAATGATCAAGGGTCTGGAGAACAAGCCCTATGAGGAGCGGCTTAAGGAGCTGGGCATGTTTAGCCTGAAGAAGAGAAGGCTGAGAGGAGATATGATAGCCATGTATAAATATGTGAGAGGAAGCTACAGGGAGGAGGGAGCAAGCTTGTTTTCTGCTTCCTTGGAGACTAGGACGCGGAACAATGGCTTCAAACTACAAGAGAGGAGATTCCACCTGAACATTAGGAAGAACTTCCTGACTGTGAGAGCCGTTCAGCAGTGGAACTCTCTGCCCCGGAGTGTGGTGGAGGCTCTTCTTTGGAAGCTTTTAAGCAGAGGCTGGATGGCCATTGTCAGGGGTGATTTGAATGCAATATTCCTGCTTCTTGGCAGAATGGGGTTGGACTGGATGGCCCATGAGGTCTCTTCCAACTCTTTGATTCTATGATTCTATGATTCTATTTAACAGTATTTTAGCCCCCCCCCCCCCAACCAATCACTGATATATATTTTCTGTTCGTCATGGGAGTTCTGTGTGCCATATTTGATTCATTTCCATCATTGGTGGAGTTCAGAATGATCTTTGATTTTAGGTGAACTATACATCCCAGTAACGACAACTCGCATATGTCAAGGTCTATTTTCCCCCAAGAGCGCCTCAAGAGCACCCCTGGGCAAGATCAACTATACTGCAAATGCTTACTTTGCATAATGGGTTGAGCCACCCCCTGGGCCTGGTTTGAAAACAGTTCATGTGAAAGGGATTTAGGAGTCTGAATAGACCACAAGCTGAACATGAGCCAACAGTGTGGCGCAGCAGTTTAAAAAGCCAATGAAAAAAAGCCAAACAAGGCACATAGTAACGGATTCAAATGGCAGGAAAAGAGATTCCTCTGAGAATGCTTGCCATAGATGCAGGCAAAACATCAGGAGAGAATGCTTCTAGAATATGGCCATACAGCCCGAAAAACCTACAACAATCCAATGGAAATGTTGCCTGGGACCCTCTTCAACAGAGGAAGGATGACCATCTGTCAAGAGTGCTTAGAATCATCGAATCATAGTTGGAAGAGACCACATGGGCCATCCAATCCAACCCCATTCTGACAAGAAGCAGGAAAATCACATTCAAATCACCCCTGACAGATAGCCATCCAGCCTCTGCTTAAAAGCTTCCAAAGAAGGAGCCTCCACCACACTCCAGGGCAGAGAGTTCCACTGCTGAACGGCTCTCACATTCAGGAAGTTCTTCCTCATGTTCAGATGGAATCTCCTCTCTTGTAGTTTGAAGCCATTGTTCCGCGTCCTAGTCTCCAAGGAAGCAAAAAACAAGCTTGCTCCCTCCTCCTCCCTGTGGCTTCCTCTCACATATTTATACATGGCTATCATATCTCCTCTCAGCCTTCTCTTCTTCAGGCTAAACATGCCCAGCTCCTTGTTTAACATTTTCTTAACATTGTACACTATCATGCACTTGATATCACGTATTAATCCTGCATGTGTTTTATAGAGTATACAATTGTTCGTTTGAGCATGTTTTGTTTCATAAAGGTATTTTCAAAACAACAACAGTAAACCTGAAATTCCCAGATGCTACACCTAATCCCAGCAACACTAAGGGGTGAAAAAAAGATATTTCTCCCCAAATATGGAATATGTGCAAATATTTCTAGGTCTTCCATAGCATTGCTAAAGACCACATTTATTAACTTGTGCGCGAGCTGTGTCTGTGCCTTGGGAAGTCTGACTTGGCCACAGTGGTCCACACTCTGGTTCCATCCCGTATAGATTACTGCAACACGCTAATTTAGATCCACAGAACGATTGGACGATGCAACCGGAAAATGATTTTAGTAATGACACGTTGAGGACTTGTGTTTTATTGTTCTTATTGCTCCTATTATTTTTTTATGGTTTATATTATATGCTAATTTTTATTTATATTTTATGTTGTTGGAGGCACTGAATTATGCCAATTGTAAACCGCCTTGAGTCGCTTTCGGGCTTAGAAAGGCGGTATATAAATATGGTAAACAAACAAACAAATAAATAAATATGCAAAAAGGTAAACATATAAAGCTGGAAGAACCAATTGTTGTATGAAAAGGCCCCGTAAAGTGCCATTTCACCATGATTGTAATAAAAGAGAGAGAAATCTGCTTGAAGGAGGGAATAAAATGTGGCAACTAGTGCCAAGAATTGTCCGGACAACTAAAATACCATTTAGATATTTTAAAACAGTCCAACAGCTGTAAAAAACAAACAAACTACTACTTCCTAACACAGCTTCCATAAATAACAACAACAAAAACAACAGTATTTATCCTTTCTGGAGATATCTTGCAGAAACACTGCACTCTCAGAACAATATATTTGTCCTAACTGTAACAAATAATTCGATTTGGAACAAAGAAGTAATTGAGTCTGTTTTGGGAGCTGGTTTCCTTAGCTGGCTGCTTTAAATTGTTGTTGTTGTTGTTGTGGTTGTTGTGGTTGTTGTTGTTGTTGTTGTTGTTGTTGTTGTTGTGTGCCTTCAGGTCTTATGGCAGCCCTAAAATGAGCCTGTTACAACACATCGTTTTTGGCTGAACTGTTTTTAACCACTTGTGTGTGTGTGTGTGTATGTGTGTGTGTGTGTGTGTGTATATATATATATATACACACACACACACACACATAATGTTTTTAATTAGAGTCCTCTTTGGGAGAGATAAAGAGGGGGAACAACAACAATAACAACAATAATAATAGTAATAATAATAATAAAAATATCAGTAATCATTTAGTAATTGTAACTGCAGTAGACTCTCAACATCACTGAAAATCAAGCAACCAGAACTTTTTCAACAACTGGCAAAAGCCTTCAAAGAAATAACAATTTAAAAGTTTTTTAAAGTTGTATTGATGTTACAGTGCAATTGTTAAACTGTGTGTTATATTAAATCTGTCTTTATTTGTTGTAATTTGCTTTTATTAACTGCATTTCAACATTAATATCAAGCCAGTACAGAGTATATGGTATAGTATAGTGTGTGTGTGTGTGCGTGTGTGTGTGTGTGGGTCTGGGTGTGGGTGTGTGTAGGATAGCATTAATTTTAATAGCCACTTTCCAGCAATCAGAAACTACATTTATCTGGCAACTATGCATCCTCATCGTGCTGGTTAATTGAGCATCTTTTGTAGTTCCATTCCATTTTTAATATTTTTAATATTTACTTTTTTGTATGTTTTTAATTGTTTTTAGACCACTTTGGTCCAAAAACAATTAAAATTGGTCCAAAAACCAATTAAGTCGCTCTGAGTCCCCTGTAAACCACTCCGAGGCCCCTCGGGGAGATGGTAGCAGGGCATAAATAAAGTATTATTATTATTATTATTATTATTATTATTATTTGGGTCCCAGTCTTGTGGAAGGCAGATTGTTAGGAATTGTGGGAGCTGAAGTCCAAAATACCTAGAGGACCGAAGTTGGCCCATACCTGGTCTAAGGTTTAGGCAGCTTACGACTGCTTCTTTCTTTCATGGAAACTCTCCATTGACCAGCTATTGATAGCTTGTAGCCAGGCATCAGTACAGAGATTACAATTTTAAGGAGTGCTGTTATATAGGACCCATTTCCTATGGCATCCAGTGATGGTACAGGACCTTACCTGTGCATGGTAGCTGGGCAGCTGAAGCTCGGCTGAAGGTGCAGATGCTTCTGTTGGCTGCCTTCAAGGTGGCTTTGGTTCTCCTCTGTTGCCTTTACATCTCCTTGGCTTCCTTCAGTCACTGCCTGGCTTGATTCCACAGGATGACTTGGGTTCTCCTCCGTTGCCTTTACATCTCCTTGGCTTCCTTCAGTCACTGTCTGGCTTGATTCCACAGGATGACTTGGGTTCTCCTCCGTTGCCTTTACATCTCCTTGGCTTCCTTCAGTCACTGTCTGGCTTGATTCCACAGGATGACTTGGGTTCTCCTCCGTTGCCCATCCTCTGGGCTTCCTCCTCCAACCACAGTCTGGCTTGATTCTTCAGGGGGAGTTGGTTTCACCTCCATTGCCTTTGCATCTCCTGGAGATACTTCTCCTCCTCCAGCTGCAGCCTGGCTTGATTCCTCGGCGTGTTTCTGGTTATCTTCCCCTGCTTTTGTCTCACCTGGGGCTCTACCTTCTCCTGTCTCTTCATTGCTTCCTTTTGTCTCTTTTTGCGGCTCTGCTGAGACCAACACTGGAGCTGTGGGTTCTCCTCCTCCTCCAGCTCCTCCTCCTCCTCCAGTATCATGAGCATTGCAAGAATCTCCATCTGCCTCCATCGTCTGATCTCCTGAGCAGAGTCTCCTTGGCAGAGTTACGGACTCAAGGAACACTTCCAAATCCAAGATCCTTTGGCTTCAGGTGTGCTTCTGCATGGCACACAACACAAAGGAAAGTTATTCCACGCCGCTAAGAACTACGATAACAATATATCAAAGTTTTAGATAGTTAACTTGAGCAGCAAACACATTTCTTCGAAAGGGCCCACTGTGGAATGAATGCAGTTTAGCATCACTTCAACTTCCATGGCTCAATGCTTTGAAATCCTGGGAGTTGTAGTTTTGAGAGGCCCCAAGATTTCAAAGCATTGAGCAGAGTAGGTTACAGACTTTATTTTAAAAAATGCAACTTCTATGTCCAGCTGCATTAAATCTGCAATGTAGTTGCATTGTATTCTGGGGAAAGGTTTCAGCACCTTGGATAGTTCTCTTAACAGTTTGGTTTATATACAAGAGCAGATTAATAAATGCTCTTCTGATACTGCATTTCAGGACATTTTATTAGGCAAGGAAGACCCCTTCTACACTGCCATATAAAATCCAGATTACCTTCCTTGAACTGGATTATACGCCAATGTAGACTCAAATAATTCAGTTCAAAACAGACCCTCTGCTGACGATGGAGGCCCAGATCTCCGCCGTGAGCAGAACCACCTTTTTTCATCTGCGGCAGGCTAGATGGCTGGCCCCCTCCCTGTCCAGGGACAACCTAGCTACGGTGATCCAGGTCACGGTCATCTCAAGACTGGACTACTGTAACGCCCTCTACATTGGCCTTCCTCTGTCGGTGATCCGGAAGCTCAACTTGGTACAAAATGCAGCTGCTCAGCTCACTTTCAAAGTGATGGTACTCACCTTTAAGGCCTTGCATGGTCTGGGGCCGATGTACCTGAGGGACCACCTCACCCCCTACCAACCCCAGAGATCCCTCCATTCTGAGGAACAAGATCTATTGGAAATTCCCAGTGTCAAGACCTTGCGTCTAACAGCAACCAGACGCAGAGCCTTCACAGCAGTGGCACCATCACTCTGGAATACTCTGCCACCTGAAGTCCGTGCCTTGCGAGACCTATCAGCTTTCCGCAGGGCATGTCAGATATATCTGTTTCAACAGGCCTTTGATCTCTGACATTGTTGTTTTAAATTGTTTTTAAATTGTTTTAAATCGTTTTTACATTGTGTTAGATTTTAGCCTGTTCTTGTAAGCCACTCCGAGCCCCAGGGGAGTGGCGGCATATAAGTTTGAATTATAAATAAATAAAATAAATAAATAATGTGGATCATCTGATTTGATCATCTGTCTTATATGGCAGTGTAGAAAGACCTGAAGACCTCCAAGTTATTTGTCCCGTTCCTTCCTCTGAGATATCATCCATTGCACCTGGTACTCATTGTCAGTCTATAAAGGAAAATGGGTTCCCTGGGACTATTTTTAAAATTTATTTATTTATGATATTTCTATCTTGCCTTACTCAAGCCCAAAGATGACTACGAAGACAAGTATCCTCTTTTACAGTAATACAAAAGTTTTGAATGTCATTAAACATATATTTAGTTCAATGTATCAATATGAAATCAAAGCAAGGTAGTAGGTTTGGTTGATCAAAAATAATGGTTCAAAACTCGTTTTGGATCTTGGGGGTGCTGGTGGTTCGATTCGGAAGTCCTTTTCAAATTTTTCTGAAAAAAGTCGGAACTTTCCGAAACTTCCGAATTGCTTTGTAACAGAATTGCTTTGTAAGCAGAGCTGACTCTCTTTAGCTTCCAAGATCAGAATGCGTAGTAAAATAAAAATAGCATGCAAAATGGACCAAATCAATTAATATTTGCAAATTGCAGCACATTGCCTAAGCAGTTAGAAACAGCCCCCCAGCCCTCCACCCCAATAAGGGGTCATAGTAAGAAAAACAGGCACAAATACCTGGCTGGCAGAAAGTTATTCCTTGACTCACAACTGGATCTAAGCTTGCCAAAACTAATGACTTTAACACCCTCTTCTTTTTTTTAATATTGTGAGTTGCTTTGCATCTCAGTCAAGAGACAAAGGTGGGATGATGATGATGATATGCTGTCCAGAGGTCCTGGAAACTGAAGACACGGAGCAGGACCTAAGACCTAGTAAACCTGGGGGCACATGACACCTTCCTGGGTTGGATACTGTATTTCGTAAGAACCTCTGCTGATGTTTACTTCTTGATGAAAGGTTGTTTACTCTCTCTGATAATTTGAGGAAGCATCTTCTTGCCATTCCTTGGCCCTCTTTCCACCATTTTACTTGAACCATCTTTCATTTGGGGATTACTTTCTGGCCTCGGCACCTCCCTGAGTTTGCTCTCATGTTCGGCCTCCTGGCTCATCTCACAGGCTTCATTACATCCCCCGCCAGCCAACGTTTCATGATATCTTTTGCTCCTGGAATTTGCAAATGAGGGCCAAACATAGGAGGGGAAAGCCTGGTAGGGGAATCCTAGAGTTCGAAGGGACCACAAGGGCCATCTAGTCCGTCTCCATAACTACAGGAAACCTGCCATGAAAACAACTCTGAGATGCAGCCATCTAATTTCTGTTTACGAATCTCCAGGGAAGGAAATCCCACCATCTTCTAAAGCAGTGTTTCTCAACCTGGGGGTCGCAAGGGGGTTTCAGAGGGGTCAACAAAGACCATCAGAAAAAAACAGATTTCTGATGGTCTTAGGAACCCCTTTGGCAGACAAGACTGAAGATCTCTCTGCCTGCCCTTCTCTTCCTTTTTGGTGTTGGTGAACTACAACTCCCAGAATTCAAAAACACCCCCCCCACCCCCACCAGTATTCAGTGTTGGCCATGTAGGTAGTGTGCCAAGTTTGGTTCAAATCCATTGTGGACTGCGTTCAGAGTGCTCTGATTGTAGGTGAACTATAAAGCCCAGCAACTACAACTCCCAAAGGTCCAGGTCTATTTTTCCCCAAACTTCAGCAGTGTTCACAACTGGGCATATTGAGAATTCGTGACAAGTTTGGTCCAGATCCATCATTATTTGAGTCCACAGTGCTCTCTGGATGTAGGTGAACTACAACTCCCAAACACAAGGTCAATGGCCATCAAATTCTTCCAGTGTTTTCTGTTGGTGATGGGAGTTCTGTGTGCCAAATTTGGTTCAATTCCATCATTGGTGGAGTTCAGAATG